TAAGGAATGCATAAAATAAAATGATGTAAAATGTATCATCAAAAATGTAAAATGTGTGTGTGTGGTGGGGGGAAGTAAAAAGACAAAATTTTGGAATGTGTTCAAGTTTAAGTAGCTACCAACTTAAAACAGGCAACACTCAAAAATGTTATATGTGAACCTCACAGAAACCACGAGGAAAAAATATATAGTAAATACACAAAGGAAAACAAGAAAGAAATCTAACTATAACACTAAAGAAAACCACCAATACACAAGGAAAGAGATAAAAAGAAAGAGAAAAAAACATAAAACAACAAAATGGCAATAAGTACATTCCATCAATAATTACTTTAAATGTAAGTAAACTAAAGCAGCCAATCAAAAGACAGAGTGTCAGAATGGATAAAAAACAAGACCCATTTATTTACCACCTATAAGAGACTCATTTCATAAGAAAGGACACACACAGACAGAAAGTGAAGGAACGGAAAAATATATTCCATGCAAATGGAAATGAAAAGAAAGCTGGAGTAGTTATACTCATATTAGACAAAAATAGACTTTAAAACAAAGACTGTAAGAAAAGACAAAGAAGAGTATTACATGATGATAAACAGGTCAATCCAGCAGGAAGATACAACATTTATAAATGTATATGCACCCAACAGAGGAGCACCAAGATATAAAAGCAAATATTAATGGACTTAAAGGGAGAATTTGAAAGCAATGCAATAATAGTAGGGGACTTTAACACCTTACTTACATCAATGGATACACCATCCAGACAAAAAAATCCATAAGGAAACATCATATTTAAACAACACAGTGGACCAGAGGGACTTAATAGCTATAGAGCATTCCATCCAAAAGCAGGAGAATATGCATTCTTCTTAAGTACACATGAAACATTTTCCTGGATAGATCACATGTTAGGTCGCAAAATGAGTCTCAATAAATTCAAGAAAAATCTTCTCCAATCACAATGGTATGAAACTAGAAATCTATCATGAAAAAAAAAAAGGAAAAAAACCACAAAAATGTGGAGATTAAAAATATGTTACTGAACAACCAAGGGGTCTTTGGAGAAATCAAAAAAATACCTACAGACAAATGAAAACAGAAATATGACATAACCAAATCTATGGGATGCAGCAAAAATTGTTCTAAGAGGGAAGTTCATAATAATGAAACAACAAAAAAATCCCAAATAAGCAATCTAACTTTACACCTAAAGGATCTAGAAAAAGAAGAATAAGTGAAGACCACAATTAGCAGAAGGAAGGGAATAATAAAGATAAGATGGAAATAAATGAAAGTGAGACTAAAAAAGAAAATAGGAAAGATAAATGAAACTAAGAGCTGGTAATTTGAAATGATAAAATCAACAAAACTTTAGCTAGACTAACCAAGAGAAAAAGAGAGGACTCAAATAAATAAAATCATAAATGAAAGAGAAGTTACAAATGTAACCACATAAATGTGAAGGATCAAATGAGACTACTACAAATAATTATATGCCAACAGTGTGACAACCTAAAAGAAATGGATAAATTCCTAGAAACATAAAATTTTCCAAGACTGAATCATGAAGAAATAGAAAATCTGAACAGAGCAATTACTAGTAAGGAGATTGAAACAGAAATCAAAAATCTCACAACAAACAAAAGCCAAGGACCAGATGGCTTCACTGGCAAACTCTACAAAACACCCAAAGAAGATTTAATACCTATTCTTCTCTCAAAGTTAACACAAAATCTTCACAGATGACAATACTTTTCTTCCCAAAAAATTGAGGACGAGGGAAACCTTCCAAAGCATTTTACAAAGCCAGCATTACCCTGATATTAAAACCAGACAAGGACACCACAAAAAAGGAAATTTGCATGCCACTATCACTAATAACCACAGATACAAACCTCAATGAACTATTAGCAAATCAAATCCAACAATACATTAAAAATTGTACATCATGATCAAGTGTGATTTATTCCAGGGAAACAAGGATGATTCAACATCTATAAAACAATCCATGTGATACATCCCATTAACAAAATGAAGGATCAAAATCATATGATCATCTCAACAGATGCAGAAAAAGCATTTGACAAAATACAACCCTCATTTAACTGTCAATAAAGTGGGTATAGAGGGAATATACCTCAACATAGTAAAGTCCATATATGACAATTTCACAGATAATAACATACTCAATGATGAAAAACTGACAGCTTTTCCTCTAAACTCAGGAATAAGACAAGGATGCCCTCTCTTGCTACTTTTATTCAACATAGTATTGAAACTGCTAGCCACAGCAATTAGGCAAGAAAAGAAATAAAAGACACTCAAATCTGGACACAGAAATGAAACTGTCACTATTTGCAGATGACATTATATTATACATAGAAAACCCTGAATACCCCACCAAAAAGATGTGAGAACTAATAAATAAATTCAGTAAAGCTACAGGATACAAAATCAATATACAGAAATCTGTGGCATTTCTACACACTAATAACAAACTATCAGAAAGAGAAGTTAACAATCCCATTTACAATTACATCAAAAGAATAAAATAACTAGGAATAAATTTAACCAAGTAGGTGAAGTATTTGCACACTGAAAACTGTAAGACACTGATGAAACAAAAAGACATATAAATGAAAAAATATTCTGTGCTCATGGATTGGAATAATTAATATTGTTAAGACGTCCATATTACATAAAGCAATCTACAGCTTCAATGCAATTTCTATCAAAATTCCAATGACTTATTTCACAGAAAAAGGACAAATAATTTTAAAATTTCCATGAAACACAAAAAACCCTGAATAGCCAAAACAAACTTGAGAAAGAAGGACAAAGCTGGAGGTATCATGCGTCCCGATTTTGAACTATACTACCAAGCTATGGCAGTCAAAATAGTATGGTACTTGCACCAAAACATACACAGACATCAATGGAACAAAACTGAGAACCCAGAAATAAACCCATACATATATGGACAATTAAGTTACAGCAAAGGAGCAAAGAACATACAATGGGGAAAGTATAGTCTCTTTCATAAATGGTGTTGGGAAAACTGAACACCCACATGCAGAATAATGAAACTAGACCACTTCTTACACCATACACAAAAATTAACTCAAAATGCATTAAGGATTTGAATGTAAGACCTGAAACCATACAATTCCTTAGAGAAAATGTTGGTGGTAATCTCACTGACATCAGTCTTAACAAATATTTTTTTGTGGATCTGACTCTAAAAGCAAAGGAAACAAAAGCAAAAATAAACAAATGGGACAATGTTAAACTAAAAAGATACTGCGTGAAGGAAACCATCATCAAAATGTAAAGGCAACGTACTGAATGAGAGAAGATTTTTGCAAACCATATATCTGATAAGGGGTTAATATCCAAAGTATATAAAGGACCCATACAACACAACAATAAAAAACTAAACGAACCAATTCAAAAAATGGGCAGACAGTCTGAATAGACATTTTTCCAAAGAAGATGTACATAATATTAGAGGATGCTGGGATAAAGATATAAGGATTCTATACATACTATATTTGAAACATTTTTGTGAGTTGAAATTGTTTCGAAATAAAAAATTAAATTAATTAAAAAAAAAAAACATTCTCAGATCCTCAAGACACTGGCCAGCACTTCGCTAGATATGACTGAATTCTACTTTTATTAAATGACCTGAGCCAAAAATATATAAAGAGTAACTGTTGCCAACGGGGCAACTTACCACTTAAGCAGAGTATTCATAAAGTATCTGCTTTTCAGTAGCATTGCAGACCACTGATTTACCATACAGAGTTAGCTGCCATATGCAACCTCCTGATGCTGAGGCATTAAAACCAAAGATAATTAGAGCATTTGCAAATGAGAGAGCTCAACTGATATTTTTGGTGATGCCTAAGAATTGTAGATGGATACCTACTAATTTTAATTTCAAAACTGTAATTAAGAGAGAGCGGACTGTACAAAGTACAGATTCTTACATGGATTATTAAAGGGGTAATTTAAAAGACAAAGCAGTACTCAGTAGACCAACAAAATTCATAAATTATAGTCATATTTGACTGAGTTTACTTCCTTCTTGGAAAAAGTTATTAATTGATTGGTAATGTTAATATATATAAAGGACAGTTAGACTTAAGTAAGATATTATTAGTCTTTTGTAATATCTTGTTGAAAACAAGGAAAAATATTGATGGAACACATGGATAATTACATGAATTTTTTGTTAGCTTAATTCCTGACTGAAGTATCATGGTTAATGGGTTAGTATCACAATGGAAGGAGGTCCAAAGAGTTTTCCTCTGCCAAATCTGTTTAAAAAGAATATTTGTCAATGACACATTAGACTGAGAATCAATGGTACAGTGAGCACCTGCCAAAATCACAGTTGTTTTTACCTTTGCCACATGATTCCCACTATAATGAACACAGGTTGCTGGGAAAGAAAAGGATGTTTGATGCAAAATGACCATGTCTATGCTGCCAGTGGCTAGACAAACCAATGAGATCCCTTCTTTTAGGGAGCCAGACAATTTGATTGTGTCAACTCCATTCCTTTCCAGCATCATTTCCCAATGCTTTAGTCACCTGACTTGAGCACGTGTACCCCTCGACTCTGGACTTAAAGTTGTAACAACTCCAAAGCAGCAGACATTTCATACTTCTAGGTATGTACACGTGCTTTCCACCTACATAGAGTACTCGTCCCACATGGTGTTAATTTATCTTATCAGTCAATCAATAATAACACATAAAATGTTTTCTCTTGTTATTGAGACAAAAATGTATTGCAGGCTTTTTAGCAAGTTTTATTCCAACAAATGGGTAGTCTACAATTTTGGGAAGATAAAACATTCACTTTTAAAAATATGGAGTGCTAAGAATTCTTCAACTTTATTATCCTTTGATTACTTTAGGTAGAGTGTACTTATAAATTATAACCTTGTAGTGTTTACAAGAATAATAAAGATTAATAATGAACTTACCAATACTTGGATAACCAGGTGTAGAAGGGTCTCCTCCTGGATTCAGAGACACCATAAAGGTATCATAGCTAAGAGTTGCAGTCTTTGGTAAATCACAAGGATCAATATACAGAAGAACACCTCCAAATCCAGCCTTTTCCAATAAGGAAAGCTAAAAGAGGAGAACAAATTATTAAAAATGTCCTCATACACATTTTTAGTTCATATATGGACACTTCATAAATGTGACTACAATTAGATGACTCATTTTTCTGTTATTGTTTTCTTTTAAAATAAGTAGAAACTTCCGATTTTCTCATTATCAAAGCCCAGACAGAGAGTTATCCTACTGGCCTCTTCCTTTTTCCTCTGTCCAACAATATATAAGCTGCATTCTTATAATGTTTATATTTGATTTCAGTTGTCTGCATTTGGAATTTCTTCATTTTTTAATTGTCCAAGTAGATTTGGAAGTTTTCACTTTCATGAGATTAACAAAAAATCTACCACAGACAAAGTTCCATTGTAAAAGGAGAGCTGTTCTGACCATTATTATATTCTTCCCTAGAGCAGAAGACATCCAACAGTATTTTGATTTATTTTCTCCAGGGCTGAGACTGCCACACCAGTTAAAATGTTGGAATCTTTCACCTGGTTTGGCAAACAGCCACTGTCCTGAACCTCCTGAGGGCCCCCACTAGTCACTCTGGTCTCTACCCTGGATGTCCCAGTCAGACCTCTAAGATAGAGCAACTAATGGGTATATACACAACAAAGTAGTGGGCCTCCTTCTAAATGGTCAGTTCCTGCTTTGTCTCTGTCATTAAATACTTTGAAAATATCCTGATTACCTCTATGAACATACTTAATGCAAAGGTTCTGCTCTGTTCTTTAGTAAGTACACAATAGAGAAGTATGATGGGGCAGATGAACTTGACATCCCAGGTTCTTTTTGTTTTAACTTATTAAATCAATTTTGGTGGGTAAAGATCTTATTCATCTTAGTGTGACTTACATGATTGATATAAGTCACAATCTTGATATAAGTATGCTATGTTAATTGCATCTTTTCAACTCCTTTAAAACTGTTCTGTATTTTTCCATTTGGGCCTCTCACCGTTGTGCCCTCTCCCGCCGCGGAGCACAGGCTCCGGACGCGCAAGCTCAGCGGCCATGGCTCACGGGCTCAGCCGCTCCGCAGCATGTGGGATCTTCCCGGACCGGGGCACGAACCCGCGTCCCCTGCATCGGCAGGCGGACTGCCAACCACTGCGCCACCAGGGAAGCCCAAGTATGGATTTTTATAAGAAAAAAAAAAAACCAACACTGAGAACCTAAGCTAAGTATAATGGACTCACATGTATACCTTGAAAGATTCAGGGAGAGAGAAGGAATGAGAGACAGAAAAAAAGAGAAAATAATATGTGAATAAAGGGCGAGATTTAAGACTGATGCTCCAAATGCAGAGACTGAAGTCCTTAGGGAGGGTTTCTAATGTTTGGATGCTGAAATTGTTATTCTCAAAAAGAATGATCAATGGAATGATTTACAATGTTCTGCTTACTATAGGAGAATATATCAAGAAAAAAAAATGAACTTCTCTAGAAAGTAATTTTTTAAATATTAAAAATTTCTTTTTTTATTACTAAAGCAATTTGTGATCATTAGCGAGAAAGATATACACGTAAACAAAACAAAGCAAAACAAAAAAGCAAAAGGCAATCCCATTATCTTACCTGTCAAGAGGTTGCAAATGTTAACATGTTGGTGTTTCTAGATCCTTTTACTGGGGCTTATGCACATTCACACATATATTTACAAAATAGAACTATGAACTATGATATGTTCTAGTTCTAGTTCTATGAATTAGAACTATGATAAGTACTTTACTTATTACTTTTTTTTGCAATCTTTATTTTTCACTTAACAGTATATACTAAACAATTGTCCATATTGATAAGTACACTTTTGTATCATTTTAATAGCTGTATACTGTGTATGAGTGATATAAATAATATTATATAAAAAGGCCATCAAATGTTATGTAACCAACCCCTGACTGTTAATAAAATTATTTCAAAATTTTTTATATTACATTGGAACAAAATTCCTTATATCTAAAACATTGCACAAATATCTATTTTAATGAAGTGTAGTTTCACAGGTCGAATTTCTAAGTCAAAGTATTCCTGTTCTTATGATTTTCTTTTTGTAAACTAATTTCCATTTAGAAAAGCTATAAAAAGTTATATTCTTACCTGTAGTATATGTATTTGTTTCCCCTCATTATCACCAACATTGAATATTATTACTTTTCAAAAGATATTTGTCAATCTGGCCAAAATTTATTTCTCCAAAGATCTTTAATTAATGAAGTTAAATATATTTTTGCTTGTGATTTTGGCAACTGTATATTTTCTTCTGAGAATTACCTGCTTGTGAAAAACTATTTTTACAATTCCCGGGCCATGTATCCATTTGTAACTATATAATGAGTGTTGCTGTTATGCAGGTAATATGCTGGCATTGGGATATGAAGGTAGGTAGGACAAGGTCTTTGCTCTTAGGAAGTTGAGTTTACCAGTGGAATGAGAAACAGTTTTCATCTAGAGTACTAACTCCAATTAACTGACAATGAATGGACGTCAGGGGAAGGATTGTGAGGCTAGATTCAGGGTCAGTGGAAAGTGAGTCTATGAGAGATCACTGCTTTGGACAAAGAAAGGGAAGTGATGACCAACAAAATTTTTTTGTTTTTTTAATGTGCTGATACTGCTTTAGTGGAAGTCAAAATAGCTTCAAAAGTATCTTCTAAAAGGGTAAATATGATAATTTAATGTTTATGAAACCTAGTGGTTAAATTTATCTTAGTCAAAAATAAAATGCTAAAGTTGCATATTTTGTCTCTTCTGATTATATTTGGTAATATGTTGAGATCCCTTTTATAAGGAATATGTACCATGATATGTTTCTATATCTAATGGCCGATAATGAAGCAATGTGGTTTAATAGAATACTATCTTTGGCCAGACTTGATTACCTCCCTACACCTCATAAGAGACAGCTTTATATGCGAGCTGACCCCCTCTTCCCGTCCTCTGCCTATAACAGTTGGACCTGAGGTGGACACCTCTTCAACATTGTCAAATCTGGTTCCTGATGCCACCCCTCACAGACCATCATAGAGCTCTTAAATAAGTAGTTTAATTCAGTGACTCAATTTCAGGAATTGTCTATTGCCAATGACACTGGCAACAGAAGAAACTGCTTACATGACATCAAATTTTAAAAATGTTCTTTTGCATTGGTAACATTGTATTTTGAACTTGATGAGGTGGAGGTTACCTAAAATGCTCAAAAGACCTTGTATTCTGGTGAGATTACATTTTTAAAAATACTTCCAAAGGCAAGGCCAAATGGATGAAGCCAGCTGTCATTGGGCTGTCTGATTGCAGACTATCCCTGGGTACACAGTTGAAAGTTATTAGCTCTGCCTAGGACCTCTTACAGCTTGAGACCTAGATTGACGATTATACTAGGGGTCTAATACATGAAAAGAGACGGCAAGTGTAAGGCCAGATTCCCTATATTAAACTTCAACTGTCCTTTGCTTCTCAAGTATATATGTGATAAGTTTGGGGTTCTTTGTCATACTTAACACCTTGTAAACTAAGACAACATTTGATACAAGTAGGACCAATCAGGACTTGGAATGGAGACACCAAAAATGAGTCAGGCAGATGGTGTTGGGCCTGAGTGTTGTGTGCTCACGGAGAAGCAGGCCACAGCCACTGGCTAGTGTGGTGCACTGGCCCACAAGTCTGTATTGCCCTGGAGGGGCACCATTTCCTAATTCACACAAAGCACCATATGAGAGAATGGCTTCTCTGTTCAGAATCAATTTTCTGACATGTGCAAACTAGTCTTTTCAGAATGTAGAAACATTCTGAAATGAGCCTTGCCAAGGAAAGTGGCAACTAAAAAGGAGTGGGAATTCAGAGGAAACATAGATGAGAATGGGCAAGAGAGGGAATGGCACGCACAGACCTCAAGTCCAGCTGTGTGTCTTTCACTTGTATTGGGTGAGATTCTCCTCCCTTTCTCTGAGGGTGCTTCAGTTATTTGCAAATAATCAATCCATAACCAAGACAAATGAAAAAGCATGAGACTTTTTATTTGATGGTACTGGATTTTGGTACCAACCCTGACACTAAATAGCTATGTGACAACTCATATAGTTTTTCCAGGCCTTTGTTTCACCATCCATAAAATGCAAGGATTGAACAACATTAGCCTCAAAGACCCATTCTGTTCTCAATTAAAAAAACTTGTACTCTAATTCTATGATTTTAAAATTGTTTAAGGAGACATTTATTGTACTTTTAAATATATTGTCACATGTGAAGTTTGCTTTTAAACTATTGGTCAGGGATACCCTCCCCAAAAATAACACACTTTCTATGATTAATAAAGATTTTTCAGGTAGTTTTTATGATATGATTTCATATAATATATAGTATGAATATTTTAATTTTGCATTAAACTTCTGCTAGGGACAGAATATAGGGAGAACAAAAACACTTAGAATCTGTACATTGAAACTCCTCTGAGTTACTGAATTGATTCTTCCTTTTCAGTATAAATTCAGTACTAATTTAAATATAGTACACTGTGAAGTGTTAATTTCATCTTTCAAAACTATTTTACAGTGTTTATACCCCAAAACATATATGAAAATTGTAATAAATCACACAGAGTTAAATAAATAATATTTTAATGAAGCTATCAACCTTCTGTCTAAATTGGAAATACTTCTACTCTAATAAATACTTCAACTAATATTTTATTTCTAGGAGAGAAGTTAAATATTGCATAAATTTACTGACTATGTTTATTCAAAATGTCCACCACTGATAATTACTAGTCTCCACATATCTAAGGATTGCTCCTCCTCTTCAAAAAAAATCATATTATGTTTCCATGAACATAGGAATCATTAAACCAGCGTCCTACTCACATGCCTCCCACCCTCTTTTGTTTAACTCAAAGAAGCACTAAGTGCTGAGCCGACATGATTCTTAAGTTTTTTATGGGTGCTAAAATCTCAATAGGCATGAGGTATCTGAGACAGATGCTAGACTAGTAACCAAGAAATGGTCCTTAGTAACCCCG